CGTCCCACCGGGAGGAGGCCCCGAGGAAGACCCAGGACACGCTGGAGGGACTATGTCTCTCGGCTGGCCTGGGAACGCCTTGGAGTCCCCCCGGAGGAGCTGGAAGAAGTGGCTGGGGAGAGGGAGGTCTGGGCCTCCCTTCTGAAGCTGCTGCCCCCGCGACCGACCCGTGTTAGTACTCTAAAGAGCAAGACAGCTACCGGTAAGTGACCTTGGTTAGTAAAGGCAGAAACAGAATGTTGAGTCTGAAGAACTCCTCGCCAGAGAAAAACAATTTTTCACCTGGTTCTTGAACAACAAGGTACTTTGACACAGTTTAAATGGACTAGTCAATGAATGCTCACGAGAATCACTTTAACTGAATTAAATCTAAGAAACATTTTTCTATGATTAAACACGAATATTTCAGTAATTATACTTCAAAATATAATTCAATGAAGTTATAACTCATCAATCAACTTTGATTAAATGGAATAACAAAAAGAAAAATACTTAATCGCTTTACTATATAAACTAGAAGCACTTGGAGAGGGCAAACCTCCGCCAAGGTCAATTTCCCCTTTCCTGTGAAGAATCCTTCAAAACATTCCTGGATCCGGATCATGATCATCACCAAAATTTAATGGTGTGTTCCTTTGGCCAATACCATGGGTTAGGGGTGTCGTCCTGCAACTGGAAGGTCGTCGGTTCGATTCTCTGTTCCATCTGTTTCAGTTGTTGTGTTCTTTGGCAATATACTTCACCCCTCAGATGCAAGGGTGTAATCACCATCTTAAAAGTGGGGTGGGGACACATTTTTTAAAGGTCTGTTTTTTCTGCTTCGGCTGAAAAAATTGGTGGGGGGGGGTGTTGGAGGGCACAGATATTGGAAGTGGGGGGACATGTCCCACCCAGTGCCTATGGCGATTACGCCCATGSTCTGATGTGTGTCCCATCAGTGTATGAATGTGAYTGGCACTGATTAGTCTCCATAGTTGATTGTACATGTTAGCTTTGTTGGAGATCTAGTAGAGTGCTGTGGGTAAATGAGGGCACTGATTGTAGTGTGAAAGCACTTTGAGTATCCTGGTTAGGTAGAAAGGTGCTATACAAGTACAGTCCATTTACCATTTACCCACCTCTGGCAAAAATTTCATGAAAATCCATCCAAAAGTTGAGTAATTTTGTCCACAGACAGACAGACAGATGTACATAAGAGAACAAAAACATTACCTCCTCCCTTGGCAGAAGTAATAAACTTATTTACTTAAACTCTGGGGTTAAAGGTGGCATGTGATGTGCATTCCTTCAAGGAATGCTAGGCCTTGAATTGATTGTGTTTTTGTGTCTCTGACATCCAGTAAAACTAATTCTGTCCACTTCAGTCATTTCGTTCAGATTTCAGTTTGAACCTTCATCTCACAGCTTTTATTCTTTATTCAGATTGTGGCGCTGCAGTTTTTCAGAGATGAGCTGTTCTTCTCTTGGCTCAGCTCTGAAGTCCAWCCCCTCCCATCTGACACAACTGGACCTGAGTCACAACAGAAACCTGTGTGACTCTGGAGTGAAGAAGCTCTGTGGTTTTCTGGAGAGTCCAAAATGTAGACTGGAGGTTCTGAGGTCAGTTCACTGCAGCTGTTGGAGTTTTTCTGTTTGTCCAAGTAAAATCATTCACTGATCCTTCACAACTGATTCATTTAGAAATGTTTCCTTCATTTCAAAAGTTCAACTTGAACATGTCTGTTTTGATTTTTTTCTTTCCAAACATCTAAAATAGTGTTGTGTCATTCACGAGTGATTTGTTCAAATTGACAAAACATGAGTGAACAAACAGAATTGAATCACTGGTGACTGGTGATTTTTTGTGATTTTACAAGCATTAGTTTTTGAGATATACTGCTAACARGTGCAAGTGTTGGATCTGGCCTCACAGCGCACCCTTCCGCCAAGTCTGAAGCGGGGCTCAGATCCAAGCCAGGTTGGCATGACTGGTTCCTTGCGTTGTCCTGGAGGTATGCTGAGATTTTTGCACCGATCAGAGTAGTGGATTTAAAGGAAGCCTGCGCAAAAAACAACCATCAGACCACTTCCACCATGATCACGCCATCAGCCCTTCAAAGTCCTGAAAAAAATTGCATGTTTACAAGTTATTATGGTTCCGTCTGCGGACGAGTTTTTTTTTTTGATCAAAGTTATTTTTT